GGAGGAGGAGGAGGAGAAAGAGGAGGAGGAGGAGCAGGAGGAGGAGAAAGAGGATGAGGAGGAGGAGAAGGAGGAGCAGGAGGAGGAGGAGGAGGAGGAGGAATAAGAAGCACTTAGCAGATTAGCAGAGCACAGTGCCGGGTGTGTCTGCGGATGACTGACATGTAGACTGCAAACTGAGGATATGCGCTGCACCTTGCATGGAATAAAAAGGGAGAGAAGAAGGAAGTCTTGGTTCTCTGGAGGAGGTCTGGTCTTCACCATCACCTTTGGACGTTTTTCTCCACTTCCTCCCAGCACAGGCTCTTCGGTGTTCAGACATGGATTTGCACAGGGCTCTGCAGCGAGCGCCAGGACTTCGGCCTTTGACTGGATCCCTGGACTCTGCAGGACACACGTGGCCCACTTACACTCATCCACCTTGGACTCTGCAGGCAGCCATTGTAAGCCGACTTAGTAAATCCTTGGAATGTCATATATACAAATCTTTGTATTACATTCGGGCCCTTGGGCAACTTCTTCATGTAGCTTACTTGTGCCTTCCGGACCTGCTTGGACTCCACTTCCATTTAATGGCAGACTGTTGCTGTACAAGTCCACCTTTACGCCTTGGTGGTCATAAAGTTCACGATGGGCAGCTCAGGTTGCATAGTCAAGTGGTCAGATTCTGCTAAGGCCCCAGAGCAGCCGGGGAGCTGCTTTGCAAAGGGAGAGTAGATACCGGTGTCTGCAGATGACCGAGGCAGCAGGGCCAGGGCCAAGTGCAGGCAGCAGGGCCTGACAAAGGTGAGGGCTGCTGAGGTCTATTGGCCCCAGGATGACCTGTAAGACTACACTTTTGTGATAGGAAGAAGAGATAAGTGACTGAGGAGGGCACAAGAGGCTTGGTTCCAAAGCAAAAGCTCCGCCGACTGAAAGGAAGAAGGCAAGGGAAGGACTGCAGGCGGCCTTCCAGCTGCAGGAGCTCCCTGGTGGGGTGGACGCACATGTTCAGCCTGTTCTCCCACGCCCCGCTCCTGCTCTCCCCAGCCAGGTATCGTGTGAAGTCAATTCATGGCACTCAAGATTTTATAGTCTGTGCATGAATTGCAATTTTTCTCACCTAAGAATCTGAGTTGCGGATGGTGATGAGAGAAATCAGCTTCCCACTCAAAATAATTTTATATCATATAACCTAAAACTCAGTCAGGGGATAAATACTGTGCACCCCCATCCAGATCTAAACCTCCTTTCTTTCATTTGTTTACTATCCATCTCCTCTTGCTTTCAAATTATGCATTTGAATGTTTTTTGTTTCTCTTTATTGTTTTTTCCAGTACTAGGAATTGAACTAAGAGTGTCACGAATGCTAACAAGGGCTCCACCACTGAGCTATATCACAGTTCTTTTTATTTTGAAGTAGCGTCTTGCTAAGTTGTCCAGTCTGGCCTTGAACATGT